CCATTCTTTCTCAATGCAACTGGAATCTGGCTTTGAGAAAGCTCAACTCTAAACTTGCTTTCCATCATCTTTTCCAGTGACCTTGCTCCATTCCCAGCCCTCAGCTTGTCTTCTTCGCAGCCTTTAACGTCCATCAAACCATCCTACTTGAAACCCTCTGTCTTGACTCCATGACACTATTGATCCTCTTCCTGTGTCTCAATATTTATTTATACATTTTGTTCATTTACTTTTGCATTTAACCATTTCTCATTTCTATGACTTTAAGAGGCTTCAATGGCTCCAGCTTAGTCCCTGGGAATGTTTTGTTCTGTACATTTTCTCTTGGGGATCTCTTCTAATTTCCTGTACACTGAAGATTCTGAACCTTATATCTCCAGCCTGGACTGCTGATGCACGATTTATAAAAGCTCGGAGAGAGAAATTGGGGTTCAACCTGAAGATCTGAAAAGCAAATCAGCCAGCCACTGGCTCTTACCTCTACCTCAATCTGAAATGACAACCCTGCCTCTAAGAATCTCAGAATGAGACTATGACTGAGAACTGCCTCCTCCGGTTTTATAATGCTCTCTAGGGCTGGGATTAAAGGCATTCACCGTCCAGTTTCTATGGCAACTAGTATGGCTACTGGGATTAAAGGTGTGTTACCACTGCTTGGTCTGTAAGGCTGACCAGTGGGGCTGTTTTACTTTTTGATATTCAGGTAAACTTCGGGGCCAGCCTTGTGTACAAGAGCCAGATACAGGACAGGCTCCAAAACTACAGAGAAACCCTGTCTGGAAAAACTGTAATAAACAAAACACACACACACACACACACACACACACACACACACACACCACATACACACACAGGAAATGCCACTACAGACTACCATCTGGAAACTCAGATACCCAGTGATGTGTCACTTAAATGTCAGATTGACATGATAGGCTTTAGTATTGCTATTTTAAGGTTGCCTGATGTTGAATTCCTCTCGGTATGCTGTGAATATTATTGGTTATTAAAGAAGCTGCTTTGGGCCTATTGCAGCACAGAATAGAGTTAGGTGGGAAAATAAACTGCTGAGAGAAAGTAGGCAGAGTTGGAGAGACGCCATGTAGCCACCACGGAGAAAGACACCTATGGGAGCCTGCTGGAATCTTGCTGTTAGGCCACAATCTCATGGTGAAATATAAAATAATAGAAATGAGTTAATTTAATATGTAAGAGCTAGCTAGAAATATGCCTAAGTAATTGGCCAAGCAGTGTTGTAATTAATACAGTTTCTGTGTGATTATTTGGGGTCTGGGCAGGCGGGAACGAATGACCAGTCTTCATATACAGGTGCCTTTCCAGTGATGTGATTATATTTATTCTATTTTGATGAAGTCAGGGTCAGCTATGCAATTTATTTTGGTTCACAACTTGTGGATGCAACTAGCATGATGAATTTCTGAGACATGTCTTAGTCCATTTTCGGTTGCAATAAGATCAAGGCTATGTTTCTCATAAACAGGGATATTTGCTTAGTTCAAAAATTTGTAAGCACAAGAGCATGGCACCAAGAGTTGGGTGTGTGTTGGTGTATGCCTTGATTCCCAATACCCAGGATGAGGTAAGAAGTGCCACTTACTGGCTTGTTCCACGTGGCTTGCTAAAACCTGGTTTCTTAAAAAAACAAAACAAAACAAACAAACAAACAAAAAGCCAGACTACCACCCACCGTGAGCTGCGCTATCCCCATCAATCACTAATTAAAAAAATGTTTTTCAGGACTTCCCAAAGCCAGATCTTATGGAGTCATTTTCTCTGTTGAGGTTCCCTACTCTCCAATGACTTTTGCTTCTGTCAAGGTGACATAAAAGTAGCCAGAACAAGTATCATTGCTTTATATAAATATCAGAAACAATTGGTCTGCTATGAACATAAATGTGGCAAGACATTTTGTTTATTTGTTTGATGGCTTTCAAGACAGGGTCTCTGTGGTTGCCCTGGAACTCACTATGTAGACCAGGCTGGCCTTGAACTCACAGAGACCAACCAGTCCCTGCTTCCCAAGTGCTGGGATTAAATGTGTGTGCCACTAAACCATTGGCATAAGCTTTAGAACCGTTTACTGTAATAAACAGCCTATACACAGAAGTTCAGTTGATAGAGCATATCAATGTGACATGCCCAGAACAGAATGCCTGATCTTCCCTATCTGCCTGATATCTCTTAGTCACACAGACGACCCATCTTAGTGAATTGTAGCCTCAGCCTTCCAGTTATGAGGTCAAAACTTCTTATAGTCTTGAATACTCTACTGTGGTGCTACTGCACTGTAGTGTAGTAGTCTCCTGCAGGTATATATATGAACGGGCACAAAAGATAATTTCTGTAGAGATGGCATTCAGTGGAGATTGTCTTAGATAGGGTTTCTATTGCTCCCACAAAACATCATGGCCAAAAATAATTTGAGGAAGAAAGGGTTTATTAGGCTTACAACAAACACCAAAGTCTGATATTTTGAATTTTGCTTTTTGACACTGAAGGAAGTCAAGACAGGAACTCAAACAGGGTAATATTCTGAAGGCAGGAGCAAATGCAGAGGCCATGGAGGGGGTGCTGCTTACTGGCTTGCTTCACATGGATTGCTCAGCCTGCTGTCATAGAACCTAGGACCATCAGCCTAAGGATGGTACCACCTACCATGGGCTGGGCCCTCCTGTAGGAGGGTGGGCAGCTTGTTCTTCCTAGCTACCCAGCTAGCTTAGACCAGAAGTAACCACACAGAAACTGTATTAATTAAAACACTGCTTGGCCCATTAGCTCTAGCTTCTTATTGGCTAACTCATATATTAATTTAACCCATTTCCACTAATCTGTGTATCACCACAAGGTCGTGGCCTACCAGCAAAGTTTTAGCACATCTATCTCCAGTGGAGGCTTTATGGCATCTCCCTCTGACTCCATCTCCTTTCTCCCAGCATTCGTCTTAGTTTTCCCTGCCTACCTAAGTTCTGCCTTGCTCTAGGTCCAAAGCAGTTTCTTTATTCATTAATGAAAATCACAGTACACACAGAGGACTCCCACATCACCCTTCCCCACTGAACACTAAATGAGAAAATGTCCTTCAACTGGGCCTCCCTGAGGCATTTCCTCAGCTGAAGCTCCTTCTCAGATGTCTCTAGCTTGTGTCACACTGACATATAAAACCAGCCAGTACAGAGATAGGGCAGTAAGAATAAATATACATACTGTTATGGTTTTGGTCCTTTTAAGAGATCTAATCTGCTTTTTATTATAAGGAAGACCTGGGAATGTTATGGTATTGGTCCCTTTAAGAGACAAGCCACGCCCACTCCCTCCCCCATCTGCTGAGGCAGGCTGATCTTCAGCTTCTGGCCTGAGTTCGCTCTCTTTTCCATCTTCCTCTCGGAGAGGCAGCTTCGCTTCTGCCTCTCTTTCCACTTCTCTGCTTTCCCCTTCACCCTTCCTCCCCCAGAATAAACTTCAACCTCACCCTGCATGTTGTGTCTATCCATGTTTCTGTCTCCTGCCCTCCTGCCATGTGTCTCCCTGCCTGGGACCAGCCATTGCTCAGGGACCAGCAGCCGCCTCTGCCTGGGGCCCACTGCCTGCTGCCACATGGCCCGCCACCACCATTTGGGACCTACAGCATTTCTGCTGTCTACTGCCGCTGGGGATCTTGCAGCATTTTTAAAAAAAAAAAAACAAAAAACAAAAAACAAAAAAACACATACTAAATCAAATGCATACATTTTAAATGTATGTGGCATATTATTAACTTTAAATCTGTGGAGACTGACATGCAACAGAAAAGTAAGAGCAAGATAAAGAGGAAGCAAGGTGTTAGGTGGAGGTTCCAATGTTAGTCAGTGTTAACCTTATTGAGGAAGAAACACTTGGGTAAGGAACTGAGAACTAAAGAACTTTTGCCCTATAACTACTTTAATATATTACATATAACATACATACAAAGCACAAAAAAACCCAGTGATATGAAACTCATCTTAAAACAGACACAGAAAGCAATAATACCTAAATTTGGCAAGGTCTGATTTTCTGATTCTGAATCCTGCCTTGACTTCTGAGGATCTGTGAAGCTACGATAGTGATTATCCACCCAAGTGGCTAACCACAAAGTGAATGTAATGAGTCTCGAGGGAGCATGTACTTTTACCTGTGTTACTGTTTTGGATGACAGCACAATTCACTTACAATCATTACTGAATCCAAAGTCAACAATCACCAATGTCACAACTATTAAAATAAATGATTTTATGTAAAATTGCAGCATCAAAAGAGAAGTGAGGGCAGCACAGTACTAGGAGGTTTGAGGCAAGATGGTTCCCAGGCCAGCACAAGCTATCCAGTCAGAATTCACCTCACTTTTGTAAAAGTGTATTATAAAAAAAATGCTATGGAATCTAGGAGTCATTTGAACTGTGTCATCATCTAGGTATCAAGAAAAAACTCTCAATCTATTTCTTTCTGTAGAGTTGTAATAAAAAAAAATCTTGCGTGGCTTCACAATTAGAGAAACATGGTGCATATTTGGTGAACCAACCGATCAGACATATGAGCAGGCAGGAACTTCTCAAGTACAGTCTTTTCTTTATGACATAAACGTGGTAGGAAAGACCCCTATATTGATTTACATCGTTCCGTTAACAACAAAAAGTAACCATATGTGAAATTCAGTCTGGCCGTTTTTAGTTTCAGATCCTGAAATTACTGTGGCTGAACACAGAAAAGACCTAACATTGGCTTTGCCGGACAGGGCTCTCTACATTTCACTCATTCTCTTAAACCCTTAGAAAATTAAAACTTTTATACTGCTTCTTTCATTTGCAGAAACAAAGCCGTTCGCACTTTCAAGCAAGGTTACCGGCAGCTCCCCAAACCCTGCACTTAGACACTTAGCCTTCAGGAAGCAGGGTTTTTTTTTGAGTGGGCTACTGTGGCTGCGCAACGACGTCATCACCGGCGCGACGCCCGGGGGGGCGGGGCAAGCCCTAGAAGCGTCCTCGCCCGCCCTCTAACGGCCGTTGGTGTCGAGGCCTCGCGCCGGCGCTTGGCTCCCTCTCCCGGAGTCTAGCGCTGCCTGCGCGCGCGTCGACTTCCTGTCGCGAGGAAGGCCACGCAGGGGCGGTGACTCCAGGGCCGGCGAGTGCGCGCGAGTGGCTGTCAGTCCGCCCGTCAGCTGGTCTGGACGTCGGCTCTCGGCCGCCATGGCTGAGAAGCAGGTGGACTTAGCTGGAGGGCCGGAACCTGATAGTACGGTGGCCTCCAAAGCGGGACCCGAGGCGGCCTCGCCCGCGACCTCCGAGTCCGGCGACTACGACGGCACCTGCGTGTTCTGCCGCGTGGCGGCTGGGCAGGAAACCAACACTGAACTCTTGCACTGCGAGGTGGGCGGCGACAGGCCCGGGTGGGTGGGACCCCGACCGCCCTGCCCTTCCCTACCCGCTGGCCCCCGGCTCCTTCCCTACCCGCTGGACCTTGAGTGTGGCCGACTTCCCTCCGGGACCCGGAGGCCTGTTGTGGTCCCTTTGCTGCTCTGTGGGGAGACACGGTAGAGCCAGGCACCCTCGCCTCCTTAATGCGTTTGCAACACAAGTGCACTCTGCTCCCCTTGCTTTTATTATCGGGAGTGTCATCGTCTCTAGATAGTGATTTTAAATTCTGCACACTTCTGCTATCGGTAGAGAGGAAAGAACTGGCAGAAAATAGAACGTGGGCGTGGCGCAGAAGCGTGAGTTCGGTGTAAAATAGTCTGGGACGGGGTTTCGGGACTGGGTCTGAAGTAGAATTGTCACTTAACAGTGACCTGTAAGTGGCCACAGCACTGAAGAAAATGTCTCCTCCCCCATCAACTATGAGTTCCGCCCCTCTTCAAGGCAAGACGTTGCCTGGTTCAGTCCTGTGCAGATCACGTGCAGGTAATCGTGGCTGCTCTGAGTTCTAGAGTACAACAGCCGTGCCATGCCTGGGCATCATTATTCCATACACCCCCCCTTCCTCTGTCTCTAACATTTTTTGTACCCTATCATCCCGAATAAAAAATTAATCTTTTAAAAGAGATTAATCATTTTGCATTTAAATTCTCATCACACATAAATTTGTAGTAAACACCTGAACAGATTGAGCTTACGTAAGGAGTGATCTACTTACATAAGTAAGTACAGAGAAAATGATTTGATGTGGAATAATCAGAGTTACCAGCATTATGAAGAATTTGTTTGGGAAACCTTTCCAACAAAAGTCAGAGAAAATTCCTCACTTCACAGATCTCTATATAGTTTTCTTACTGTATTTTTTAGAATTTATTTGAGTAAAAGGTACACCATATATTCTTATCAGAGAGCATAGCAGTTCTGAAGGCGTGTCTTACTCTTTGTGTATGAGGCACAGGTATACATATAATACATAAATACCATGGCCGGCATTAGTATCTCATGCTTTTGATATGAATTATCTTAAAGAGTTCTGAGAAACAGCTGGACAGTTGTGGCTAAAACATATCTACAGAGTGAGTTCGAGGACAGCCAAGGCTACAAGAGGAGAAAAAGAGGAAGTCTTAGAAATGGAAAAAACAAGATGCCCTAGGTTAAATTTCACCATGTGTGAGCCCATACTAAGCAAATATTTCAATGCTTTAACTCTACTTTTGTTAACTAAAATTGTCTTGACTCCTTAGCATGGTACTAAGAAATAACTATTTCAATATACTTCCTTGTTTTAGATATCAAGATATAGTTAGTGGGAAGAAATTGTTGTAGAGATTTTAAGCAAAAAATATTTTTTTGAGAATTATTTGTTAGAAAAAAACATTGGAAGAATAGGAGAAGCAGGTTCTAGAATAGTCTATAAGAATTATAACCAGAAGCCGGGCGATGGTGGCGTACGCCTTTAATCCCAGCACTCGGGAGGCAGAGGCAGGCGGATCTCTGTGAGTTCGAGACCAGCCTGGTCTACAGAGCTAGTTCCAGGACAGGCTCCAAAGCCACAGAGAAACCCTGTCTCGAAAAACCAAAAAAAAAAAAAAAAAAAAAAAAAAGAATTATAACCAGAACAGCATGGCAGAACTTTACACATTATACACATTATAACTGTTTCTGCTCCTTACTGTAAAATAAATTAGACTCTTTCAGAGAAATAATTTCATAGCTATATAGAGATCCTTTGCACTTTGCATTCCTTTGTATAACTGTTCAGTGGGCTTATTGGACAATTTTAAACATTGTCTTTGAGCTATGGACATTTGGGTTCTTTTCAGTTTTTGCTCTTGGAAGTCATACTGTAAAGATCAGCTGTATCTGGAGGTGCAGCTCAGTGGCAGAACTGGCCAAGCATGTGGAGGCCCTGGGTTTGATCCCCAGCACTACAAAAAAGAAAATGAATTTAAAACGTATATATGTGGATATAGACACACAATTTTATATTTTTGGCATCATAACTTTGGAATTGGATCTCTTTCTCTCTTTTTTTTTAAAGTAATAGTTGGGTCAGTAGTAGTAATGGAAGATAGTAAGTAGCACAGAACCAGTATTTTAAAAGCTTAGTGGAAATGCAAGTAACAGCTAACTGAAATATCAAGTTTCTTTGTCTTTAAATTTAAAACATAGTTGATTGCCTTGGTCTGTGGTATAGGTGTACATGTGCATATGTAGAGGCCAGAGATGAATACTGGGTGTCTTTTCCTATTGCTCTTCACTTTATTGCTTGAGACAGAGTCTCAACCTAAAACTTGTGGCTTTGGTAGACTCACTCACTTGGCTCAGCAGACCCCACCAAGGACCTCCTATCTCCACCATTGAGCCCTTTTTACCAACCTGACTTTTTATGTGGTGCTGGGATCTGAACGTGAGTTCTCAGCTTGTGTGGCTTGCACTTTACTCACTGAACCTTCTCCTTAGCCCAAACTGTGACAGTTTTATCTTAACCTTTTCTAAAATACTCTGTTGTTATCAGCGCTTATCTGCTACTCAGACTGAAATAAAATGGATCAAAATGTAGTTGTTGTGCCTTTACCTTAGATAACTAAGGTTAACAATATGGATGTGAGGCTCTCTTGACACTGAATTCTGTTCCTAAGATGGGGAATTGAAGGATAACAGTGTATCCAGGGAATTTTGCTGAGAAAAACTGTTTATTGATTTAACCTTTATTTTAATTTTTAGTGAAGAAAGCATACAATAGGGATGGGAAAATGTATAGTGAAATTTAAAACCAAGATTTCTTTTTTTTTTCTTTTTGATTTTTTAAGACAGGGTTTCTTTGTGTAACTCTGGCTGTTCTATAACTCTCTCTGTAGGCTAGATTGGCCTCAAACTCAGGGATTCACCAGTTTCTGTCTCCCAAGTGCTGGGATTAAAGGTGTGTACCATCACTGCCTAAAACTGACATTTCTGGTAAGGAAATTTTAATGAATTTTACTTATAATTAGTTGTTCCTTGAAATCGACCTAATATAATAAATTCCCCATGACAAAAGCTTAAGCTTCTTTTTGTGAATTTAAATAAGGCACAGTCACAAAAATGTTCATTAGACATAAATTGTAACTGAAATACCATTTTCCTTTTGTAGATTATAGTGTATAAGTCACAGCAGAGCAGAATAATGTTTGTTTTATTTTAATTTACCAACAAATATGTCTCTTTTTTAGAATGAAGACCTAGTTTGCTTCAAAGATATCCGTCCAGCGGCACTTCATCATTATCTGGTGGTGCCAAAGAAGCATATTAGAAATTGCAAGGAACTGAACAGAGAGCAAGTAGAAATGGGTAAGATGGAAGCAGTGTTCTCTGTGGCTTTATTTCATGAATTGTCTTTAAATATGCCAGTGCTGATAAAAAAAAGGCTTATTAAATTATCAAGAAGAAAGTGAGAACTTTTGAAACATTCCCTTTTTTGAGATTAGAGACATGTGTGTGCCACCATCCAGATTTTGCTTTATGCTTTCTTAAATAATAGTTTTTTTTGGCTTTTGTTGAAGTAAGGAGCGGCAGGGCTGCGTCCCCAACACCCCAGCCGCTTGACTAGCTCATGCCCGAAATAACAACACGCAAACTGTATTCATTTAAGAACTGCTTGGCCCATGAACTCTAGCCCTTACAGGCTAATTCTCGCACCTGGACTAGCCCATTTCTAATAATGTGTGTAAGCACCCCAAGGTGCGCTTACCGGGAAGATTCTAGCCTCCGTCCTTCTAGCCTCCGTCCATCATGGTGTCTCTGCTCCAGAGAGCAGAGTTGTCTGGTCTGTCCGGGAGCAGAGCAGAGTCTGACCTCACTTCCTCTTCCGCCCAGCATCCTATCCTGTTTATTCCGCCCACCTATCTTATAACCTATCAGGGCCAGCAGTTTCTTTATTACTCAGCCAATGAAATCAACAGATTGATATATGACACTCCCACATCAGGCTTTGAAATTGGAAGATGCTATGAAAAATTCTAAACAAGTTCTGATGTATTATCTATATAAGCTTACACTTCCTGACAGTTTCAGATGCAGATAACTTAGTGCCAGAGTTTAGTTATGAGATTTTGGTTTTGAACTTTTAGCTTCTGAAAAGGAGATTCCAATTTTATTTCTTCCAGAATTATTCTGTATTTCCTGCTCATTGCCTTCTTTGACTTTTTCTGAAAGCTTTTCCTAAAACTTTTTTTTTTTAGTTTATTTCAATCTTTTTAGTAGTCTTTCTAACTAACCATGGTCTGGTATTAGTTTTGGCAGTACTGTATGATAGCCAACAATATAGCTGAATTAGGCCAGACTGTCTAGAGAGGTGAATAAGAAAACGTGTGACAAAACATCTTGGTGTAGTATTATTATTGTTCATGGGCATGTAGATGACTGAATTACCAGTTAGAAACTTGTTTCTAAATTCTATAAAATTGTTTAGTTATCTGAAGTTCTTTCCATGTGATTTAGAACATCATGATTTATAACCACAAGGTAGCATTTATACTTATGGAGATAATATCTAACCTATATTTACCTGATTGATTGATTGTATAATTATTACTAAAATTTCCATTGCATTCTTTGACTATTTCTTAGAGATCATATAACCTCTAGGAAGTTTTATTTATCATTAAGGTAGTAGTAGCCTTATGGAGAAGAGAGGCTTCTACAATTATTAGTAATAATTAGTAATTTTTAGCTCGTTATTATAGTTAGTGCACATAAAATATAAGTATTTAAGCTAATGGGGTTTGGAATTTCATTAAATTAATTCCTCCCTCTGCTTGTATTTGAATATTTTCATATAAAAATCTTAAAAGTTGTTGAACTTAACTTTTATTATATAATTTTTAAAGTAAGAAATGTACATAGAAGGACGTGATAACAATGTCAAGGCTAGCTATTGCTATTGACACTTTTAGATCTCTTTTTACTTGCAGAGTGCATGTTTTTTTTTTTAATTGAAAAAATTTCTGCCTCCTCCCTGCCTCCCATTTCCCTCCCTGTCCCCCCACTCCTCTTCTCCTCTCCACACTCCTCTCCCCCTCCCCCCACTCCTTTCCCCCTTCCTCTCCAGTCCAAAGAGCAGTCAGGGTTCCCTGCCCTGTGGGAAGTCCAAGGTCCTCCCCCCTCCATCCAGGTCTAGGAAAGTGAGCAGCCAAACAGACTAGGCTCCCACAAAGCCAGATCATGCAGTAGGATCAAAACCCAGTGCCATTGTCCTTGGCTTCTCAGCCCTCACTGTCTGCTATGTTCAGAGAGTCAGGTTTTATCCCATGCTTTTTCAGTCCCAGTCCAGCTGGCCTTGGTGAGCTCCCAATAGATCAGCCCCACTGTCTCAGTGGGTTGGTGCACCCCTCGTGGTCCTGACTTCCTTGCTCATGTTCTCCCTCCTTCTGCTCCTCATTTGAACCTTGGGAGCTCAGTCCGATGTTCCATTGTGGGTCTCTGTCTCTATCTCTATCCATCGCCAGATGAAGGTTCTATGGTGATATGTAAGATATTCATCAGTATGGCTATAGGATAGGGTCATTTCAGGTTCTCTGTCCTCAACTGCCCAAGGAACTAACTGGGGACATCTCCCTGGACACCTGGGAGCCCCTCTAGAGTCAAGTCTCTTGCCAACACTAAGATGGCTCCCATAATTAGGATATATACTTCCCTGTTCCCATATCTACCCTTCCTTTATCCGAACCATCCCATTCCCCCAAGCTCTCCCCATCCTCCCCTTCTCACTTTTCTCTCCCTATTTCCCCTTACCCCCATCCCACCCCACCCTCAAGTTCCCAATTTTTGCCAGGCAACCTTGTCTACTTCCAATATCCAGGAAGATGACTATATGTTTTTCTTTGGGTTCACTTTCTTATTTAGCTTCTCAAGGATCACAAATTATAGGCTCAATGTCCTTTATTTATGGCTAGAAACCAATTATGAGCGAGTACATCCCATGTTCATCTTTTTGGTTCTGGGTTACTTCACTCAGGATAGTGTTTTCTATTTCCATCCATTTGCATGCAAAATTCAAGATGTCATTGTTTTTTACCACTGAGTGGAACTCTAATATGTATATATTCAATACTTTCTTCATCCATTCTTCTATTGAAGGGCATCTAGGTTGTTTCCAGGTTCTGGCTATTACAAATAATGCTGCTATGAACATAGTTGAACAAATGCTTTTGTAATATGATAGGGCATCTCTTGGGTATATTCCCAAGAGTGGTATTGCTGGGTCCTGGGGTAGGTTGATCCCGAATTTCCTGAGAAACCGCTACACTGATTTCCAAAGTGGTTGCAAGAGTGCATGGTTTTTAAGAGCACATGTTCACCAAAGTAGATCATATTCTGAGCATTAAAGCTTGTAGCAGTTAATGTGTTTAAAATCTTATAAAATATGTAATCTGAAGGTGATGGAACTAAATTAGATATTTATCACAGCAGTAAATATTTTAAAATTAAACAGACACCTAAATAATTATTAAATATGTCAAAGAATATTTCTAATTTATTCATTTTTATTTCATGTACATTGTTGTTTTGCCTGCATGTTTGTCTGTGCGAGGGTGTTGGATGCCCTGGAACTGGAGTTAGAGACAGTTATGCATTGCCACGTGGGTTGGGAATTGAGCCTAGTTTTTGAATGATGCCAGTGCTCATAACCTTTGAGTCATCTCTCCTGCTCTCAGAGAAGAATTTCTAAATAAAATAACACATTTCTAAATAATTCCAAAATAGAGAAGATATTGAGTTTATAAACAAATAAAAACACAACATATTAAAGTTGGTAGGATATACCTAAAATACCTAAAGGGAACTTTGTAGCTTTGAATGCTAATACTAGAAATTTTTTTAAGGAGCTGGAGAGGTAGCTCTGTAGCTAAGAGTGCTTTTGCTCTTCCAGAAGGTTTATTTTTACCTAGCACCCATGCTGGATTGCTCATGATAGCCTGTGACTCCAGCTCCAGGGGATCTGACATTCTCTGCTGGCTTTGTGGGCACTTTCCCATATGCACACAGGCATGCACACATAAATAAAAGTAAATCTTTTTTTTTAAAAAAAAGAAGAAAGTGAGTTTCAAATTCAGTAAATTAAGTGTTCAACAGAGAAAATGGGGCTTCAAATTCAGTAAATTAAGTGTTCAACAGAGAAAATGGGGC